CTCTTCCTCGAAGGGTGTCTCTATTCTGTAGCTCTGACTGTCCTGGAACTTGCTATGTAGACCAGGTAGGTTTCGAAATCACTGAGATCACCTGCCTCTGCCTCCCTAGTGCTGGGATTTAGGTAACACGTGTGCCACCATGCCTGGCTGCATTTCACTACTAATTTAACTCTTGTTTTGAGGGACGATGAGTGGCAGAGACTGTTTCATTAGGGTAGTCAGGACTCAGGCTCTAGTCCCAACTCCAGTAACAGAGGGCTGCGTCCATCAAATGCAGCCCTCATGCCTTGAACTCCACAGTCTGCCCACTATGAGCAACATTGTTTTCTTTTATTATGGAGTCTGTTATAACCACATAAAAGGATTAGCGCACAGTTCTGTCCTTATTTTACAGATGGGGAAACCCAGGCTAAGAGATATAGTGGTTTTCTACTAATGTATAACTGTGCTTCTTATCCCTCCAGAAGCCACCACACCTAAGCCAAGAAGGGTGACAGGCCTGTAATCACTTGGAAGCTTGAAGCAGTTTTCTGAGGATTTAAGGTCAACCAAGGTGCACAACAGAGTAGGGAGTGCGTGCATTCTGGCAGTATTCAGATTGGCACTGGCCAAGCTTCTGTGCTTCCCAGCTCACCTCCCGGGCCTCCTAGCAGCTGCTGGAGCTGTTAATTCACAAGAGTCCTGAATCCCGCCCAGGACTCGGATGGGGAACCAGTGGTAACTCTCAGGCTCCGGAAGGTCCTCCCACTCCCGACTTTTCATTGCTCTCCTGGGCTCCGCCCCGTCCAGGTCTCTGACCTTTCTGCAGTGCCGTTCCGGGGCAGGCGGTGTATCGCTGCGAAGTGGAGGACCCTGCGAGCACTCGGTGAGGAGCAGGAAGGCCGTAGCTCTGGTCCCATGAGGAGCTGACAGGCAGCTTAGCACCAGGACAAGGGTAGGGGATGGGGGGCTCTGTTTGCGGCTGCGGTTTGTGTGATCAGAGGTCTGACGGAGGTGACGGGGTCTTTGGCGCGGGGACACTGCAATTCGGATACTCCCCTGAAGGTCAGTCTGCTGTCCGTCCACTCGATCTCCTCCTGTCCTCTCTGGTCTCCTTTTCCCTTGGGAACCCTGGCGTCTCTTCCTGTCCCTGGGGATCCCGTCTGAAAGATTTCCAGGCAGGAGTTAAAAAGAGCTCCTAACTTCCCCTTCCTTAGAAGACAGACACTGTCCCCGTCTATACCCAGTTCAAGAAGCCCCTTATGTCTGTGTTTCTAGTCAGGTCGGCCACTTTCCTGGCTTGAACCTGAGGAAGTTTGTCTGTGGTAAGCCCAGTAAAGAACAGGATTGTGTCTTCAGCCCTCTCTGTGGCAGAGCGCGGAGAAAAGGATGGCCATGCGCTCTGCTCTTTGTGCAGTGGCACAGATAAAGAGGGTGGTAGCCATAGCCCTGAAAATTTGTACTTCCCAGAGAGAATAGCTTTGGCTTCAATGTTCATAGGTTTGGGGTGAACTTACAAAAGTTAGTATCATATTTGATATAGGGAACAAGTGCCTTGTCCGCAGCATAACACGTTTTCTACGTGTGTGTAGAGTATGTGTGCTTTGCAGTGAGGAATTCTTTCTGAAGTGTGACTCTTATTTTCCTACTCAAACTTTTTTTTTTTTTTTTTTTTGGCTGGCTGGCAAAGGGTTGGAAAGAGGACAGGGAGAACTTTTCCAGGCTTTCACAACTGGGAAAAGTCAGTTTTCGTGTACTTCTTTTTTTTTTTTTAAGTAAATTTGTTAGGCTCTTGCATGCATCTTAATTTTAAGATGTTGTCACGGCCTTGGAGAGTAGATATTTAGTACTCTGCAGAGTTACTTTATGGGTTTTCTAAATGTGGAGCAAAGCTCAGTCTCTAGACAGTGAAATAGTTCATCAGTGGATGCTGAGAAGGTGGTTTGCCTTGATGGTGGAGCAGTGGAAACATCTCAGGAATGACCTGTAATGCTTTCTAATAAAATCTTGCCTTATCCTCCATTGGGAGCTGAATTCTCAGTGGACATACTTGTTGTTTCAGATTTGTAAAAATGATGTTCCACTGTCTTCTGGTTTGTTTTGTTGTTAGATTAATGTAAGTGTGAAATGACTACTTACATTCTATTAAGTAAGATTCAGAAGTCAAATATAATCAGAGAAGTGGCAGAGAATTGGCCAGTGACCACCCCTCTTTCTCTCTCCTTCCTCCTAACCCCATCCCTATTACTTCCTGTCTCCATATGTCCTGGATCCACCAAAACTTCTATGACTACTTCTGGTCCCCCCTAGTAGCTAACTCTGCCATCTGACTTAAGTTAAATTTTATTGCCAGTCTCAGGAGTGTCAGAGTACATACAATCAAAATATTCTACAACATAACGTGTATGTGAGTATTCTGCCTGCATGTATGTATATAGCTTATGACTGAGGAGGCAAGAAGAGGGCACTGAATCACCTAAATCTGAAGTTACAGATGGTTGTCACTTTCTATGTGGGTGCTGACAACTCAACCCTTGTCCTTTGCAAGAGCAGCAAGTGCTCTTAACTGCTGAGCCATCTCTCTAGCCCAAAATTTTATAAATAGGTTTATAATTGCATCTCATGTCTCCACAGTAGGTGCCTTCATTTTTTTTCCTCCTTCGTTTAAAGTCTTCTTTTCCTCTGCTTTAAGGTGAATTGATGATGGAGGACATTGGTATAAAATGGTCTCTGTGGGGGGGGGCACTTTTGGGATCACGATCACTGGGTTTATACTTTGAATTTCTGCAATATCATTCAGATCTTTTTCTATCCTTAGCCCCTCTCTAGGAGCCCAGTTACAGCTTGCTGTTGCCCCTCCTATTTGGCTCACTTGTGTTCTGTTCATTTTCTTTGGGTCTTTGATAGTTTCCATTACTAGACCTTTAGTTTCTTCTTACTTATCCATCTGGTTTTATTTTTAAAAATCGAAGACAGTTGCATCTCTGTGGATTTCTGTCTTTTTGTTTTTTGTTTTGAAACATTCTGTGATAAAATATGCATAGCTAGATTTAACTATTTCAACATTTTAAGGACACAAGCTAAGTACATTTATAAAGTCATGTTACCATTTGAGGGGGTCTCTACAGGTGTCACAGTAGGAAGGGAAGCAAACCTCAAAGAAGAGAGAGTGAAAACTCAGTTCAGATTGACTTTATTAAGCTAGATAAAACTTGGCAGAAGTCTGATGCCAGGTGGTTATATAACAGAATAATAGTAGGATGCCAAACATAATAGAATTTGGGGGAAAACTTCCAGGCAACAATCATTTCCATTCCAGATTTCCAGGAAACAATAGTTTGCCATGTGGCTACTTAGAAACTCCTTTACAAAGTACATATAACCATGAAGACGGGTTCTATAGCTAAAAGGCCTAAGATCTGGTGTGGTCTCTGAGATAGCATAGAGGTCAGCAGGCCATGTGATATCTCTCCTAATGATGGGGGCCTATTAAGTAGGAGCTAAAGGTAAAAGGTCTAGGGAGGGAGAGTCTGTGATAGACATTTTTGGTGAGGACACCAGGACTAACAACATACACTATCAGTTTTCTGGGTGGAATGTAGATATTGTATCTTTTCCATTGAGGAGACACCTACATGTTTAACCTTCCTGTTTTCTGTAGTAATCTGTGTCCAAAAAGAGCTTTGTGCACCTAACAATCATTACTGCTATCTATACACTTAACAATTCTTTTTTATGTTTTTGCTTCTCTGAGATAGTGTGTCACTCACTAACTCAGGCTAGCTTAGAACTTCTGATCCTTCTGGCTCAGCCTCTGAAATTCAAGAATGGAGTATAGATATGTGCTACTGTAACCAACATTTCTCATTTCAAACAGAAGTCTGCCAAGCCCCTGGGCTAGAGAAGTTTAGGGTAGGGGGCAAGGTACGGAAACCAGGAAGATCCTGGAACAAGTGGGAGAACCTGGTGGCCAGCTTCATTTTGGTATGCTAAATAGGCATATCAGCAGGCTACCCCACAGCTAATCAACTTTAGACTGGATTAACTGAGGTTCAGGGCCCTGGTTGTTCTTCCACATGCCAGGCGGTTTGCTTCTTGGCACTCATATCTGGCAGCTCACAACAGCCTGCAGTTGTAGCTCCAGGGGATACGATACTCTACACACACAAAATATAAAAATATTTTTTAAAAACTCAACTTTTGATATTAGTGGGGGTTTTTTTGTGGATGTTTCTGTGTTTTGAAGGGGTTGGGTTTTTGTTTTTTGTTTTGTTTTGTTGTTTTTGTTTTCGTTTTTGGATTACCCATCTCATGGGTTGTTGGTTTAATCTCTATTTTTGTTTCTAAACTCCATTTTTTCCATTAATACCTTTTTTCTCTTGGAAGCTGTCATTTATTAACAGTTGTATGGAAGCCAGCCTAGACTTGAACTATGTCCTAGTACTATGTCTTACGAGGATGAAAGCTTGGTACATGTTACTATTTTTCTGGCTAAAAATGTGGAGCCTGAAAGAGAAGGTATGGACAATCCTAGTGGTGCCTTACAGAAATTGCTGGACAGTGGAGGACTTGCCAGTCCTTTTCTGATTTTACCTTGGGTGCATTGGACATCCTTCCTGTTGTGAGCTATCACTCGTTGGGCTTTGTGTAACGTGTTATGCCAACACTAGCGACCCTGTGACCAGGAGGAAGGGCAAGGAGTGCCTACTGAGTGCAAAAAGTCAGCTCTGGGAGGCAGAAACGAGTTCCACTTTAAAGCAAACTTTGCCCAGCTGCCTAGGAAACTTGGCTTGCTCACTAAGGGAGCAGCGCCTGTCACTCAGGTCTTGCTAGCCAATCAGGGTATTTTAAACAGGCCTTCCAATCATGATCTCTGGTAGGCGGTGCGGGGCGGGCTTTTTCCGGCCACAGTGTCGTGGGCTCACCGTGGCTGAGGGTGGTGCGATTGGGCTACACAGTTACCGCTGGTACCGGGAACTGTGGGTAGAGTGGGCGAGCTCGGAAGCCACGCCATGGTGAGCGATGGGCCACTGTCCCTAGACCAGAGGAGCGGGGACTGAAGCGTGGGAGCCTGTGTGGCGGGGCCTCCTAGGGCTTGGGGCAGGGCTACGTCGTGAGAGGCAACCTAGGCCCGGGACCAGCGGCCTCAGGGCAGCTCTGTCCCGGCCGAGAGGCTCCGCCCCGTTCCGGGATGCTCTGCGTAGCTGGTGTCACATTCCAGATCGCATGTGTGGCCGGCGGGACTACCAGTTGCTAAAGGTGGTCGAGTTTCTCTTGAGTTATAGATGCTTGTATTTCCTATTTAGGTTTAGGATCTGCTTTTGAATTAGTTTTGTGAAAGCTGTAAAGTCTGTCCAATTTTTTGTTGATAGCGTGTTTGCTTTACTGCTTTGTTAAATCAGTTACTGTTTTTGTGGGTTTGCTTCTGGCTTTTTTATTCTTATTTGTGAAATACTGTACTGATTTGATTATTGTGGTTTTATTGGAAATATTAAAGTAAGATAGTGTACTGTTGTGTTAACTTTTTTCCTTCTCTTTTTTGAGACAGGATCTCTTGTTTCCTAGGCTGACCTCAAAGTTTGTGTTAGCCGAGGATGACCTTGAGCTTCTGATCTTACTACCTAAACCCACCTCTGCAGTGCTGGGTTTAAGGGTGTGTGCCTGTATGCCTTTTGTTTGTGTGTTTTGGGGACAGGAACCTAGAGCTTCACGGTAGTCAGACACACTACCAGCTCTGCTATAGCCTATTGTTCTCTTCCCTGAGTGTCTCTTGCCATATAATGTTTAGTTCAGTTTTGTTGTTTTCAACATAAGTTCTGAGAATTGGTATTCTGAGAATTTGTATTGGGGTGTGATGAATCTGTAGATTGTAATGATAACTCATTAGAAATGTGCAATTTCTGTCTATATGATTAGTTACATTAATATGCCAAGTCTCATTTTTTCTTTGGTGCTGTATAAGATGTGTGGTGGTTTTAATTTCACACTCTTACCAGTCTCAATAGTGCTTTCCCTTTTCTGGCAGTGGTTTTGTTTTGGTTTTTGTTTGCAATCACTAGTATTATGACATGATTTTTGCTATTAAATTTGTCAATTTGGTGAACTACATTTTTAAATTTTTCAGTTTTTGTGTTGATGGGGATTAAAACATCTATTTTCATAATGCTAGACTTTTGTTTTACCATGGAGCTTTGTTTACAGTCTGAGGTTAAAGGTTTGAATTGAATTTCTGTGTCTGTATGGATTCCAGCATGATTTTGGTATAACTTTGCTTCCAGACAGACTTTTATTCTGCAGACCAGGTTGACTTCAAACTCTTGCCAGTTCATTTGCCAAATGCTGGTGTTACAGGCATGTGCAACCCCACTGGCTCTGGTTCTTTTAATAATTTTAAAAGTACACTTGAAAATTCAGGTTGCTGATGTTGAGAGTTTTTGCATTAGTCATTCTTTAGATTTATTTGTTTTTGTTTTGCTTTGTTTTTTTCTCCTGTGTTGTTTTAGTGTTATGGTAATGTTGAACTCAGATTGAATTAGGATGTGTTTGCCTTTTAAGAGGAAGTTTTACAGAATTAGTGCCCTATCTTTATTGTTTGGAAAAATTGATGATTGAAATAATTTGAGTCTTAATCTGTCCTTGTTTTGAGAGTTAGTGATTTCATTTATTTAGCACATATAGGCTAATTTGTTCATTTCTTCTAAGTTACTGAATATGTGGTCTGGAGTTTTTCATAGGATGCCTTTATGGTTCCTTTAATCTTCATTCTAATGATGGCCCTATTTAATTCTCTCATCCAGGTACTGACCAGGTCTGATCCTGCTTAGGTTCCAAGATCAGGTGAGATCAGGTTTGTTCAGGGTGGTATGGCCATAGATGGCCCTTTATAATTGTAATCATTAGTCTTTGGTAAATGTGGCTGTAAGCTTCTCGCTTCTATCAGTATTTTTGAAGAGCCAGGTTTTGGAGTGATTGATTATCTCTTGGTTTCCTATCCACAATTTTTTATTCTCTAATTGCTATATTCCTATGCTTGATTTATTTCTTCTTTCTCTAGCTTCCTATTAAATGGTTTATTTTTCATTTGTCTTCATTAGTAGTATATGCATTTATTGATTGAATTCCTCCCAAACATAGCTTGTGTTTTGTGGCACATATTTTCCTAAGATGTACTTTTAATTGTTTTTGAAATATTTAGATTTCTCTTGGGACTTCTCCTTTACCATGTGTTACTTAAAACTTTGGTTTAATTAATCTAGGTTTTCCAATGTGCTGTCTTTAGTTTAGGAATTCTCAGTGCCTACTATTAGAGGTGCCAAAATTAGGGGGCATTTGCACTCTTTCTATACAGGGTGAAAGTGTCAGGGTGACTACCCCAGGATTTGTATTAGCTTTCCTTTTTATGATTTCATTACTTATTTTATGTGCATTGATGTTTTATCTGCATGTATGTCTGTGTGAGGGTGTTAGATTCCTTGGAACTGGAGTTACAGACAGTTGTGAGCTACCATGTGGGTGTTGGGAATTGAACCTGAATTTTCTGGAAGAACAGCCAGTGCTCTTAACAGCTGAGCCATCTTTCTGGTTCAGGGATTTATAATAAGTTTATGGTGATACCTCAAAATATATCTTTTTTCTGCATTGGAAAGAACTTTATTGGCACAGTCAGGAAGATATGGTAAGGTTGATTATTGTCTTGAGCTCCCTTACATTACCATAAATGTCCATACAAGCTATATTATCAATGTGGTAGGAGAAGCTATCCTCAAAGACAGCTACTCTTATTATCAGCATGTAAATCTGATCTAAAACACACTTCACAGACTCCTAGCACTTGTGGCACAGAGGCAGGTAGATCTCTGTGAATTCGAGGCCAGTCTGGTCTATAGCACAAGTATCAGGGCAGCCAAGGTGACATGGAGAAACCCTGTCCTATTAGCTGAAATAGAGATACTTGTCATTTTCAATGGAAAGTAAGAAAGGATCAAGAAATAAGTGTAATAGAATAGGTTTAGAGAAAAACTGTCAATTGGTCTTCCAGCTGGTTTTATATTTAATTTTGGCTGCTCACCTTAAAATGTTTTGAAATATGAAGTCTAACTAATGGTAATTTGTCATGATTTCTTCAATAGGGAACATAGATAGTCCTTTTGGGGGGGAGGCAGTGGGTGGTGTTTGCAACAGGGTCCCTGTATAAACCAAGGCTGGATTCAACTCAGATTTGCCTGCCTCTGCTTGCTAAGTGCTGGGATTGAAGGTGTGTGCCATTGTGCCTAGATTTCCTTTCTCCTTAGCATGTTAATCTAGGTGTCCTAGGTAATATAACTAATGCCAGAGGAGCAATCTGTTTTAATTGTAACTTAACTCATCTAAGAAAAAAGATAACAAAACTTAAGAGGTTTGGAATCTATCAGGATTGGTATTAAATTCTTAGTTTCCTTTCTGATGCTGTGGTAAAATACCTTGGTAAAAGCAACTTTAGGGAATTAAAGATTTATCCTGCTAACAATTTCAGGTTACCGTCCTTTGAGGAGAAAGCAGGACAGGATCTTGAAGCAGTTACATTCATACTAGAGAGCAGATGGAGAGTGAATATATGCATGATTACCTGTACTCAGTGCCCCTTCCTCCATTTATGTAGTCCAGAATCTCCTGCCTAGGAGATGGTGCCACTTACTGTGTATAGTCTTCCTGCGTTGGTTAATATAATCAAGGCAGTTCACAGTCTTTCCCAAAAGCCAACCAGATCAAGATAGTCCCCTCATTGAGATTCTCTTATGAGTGTTGTGTCAGGTTCATGGAGCCTAAGAGACCAATCCAAGGAGCAGACACTTCTGAAGCAAAAGCAAAAGGTTTCTGTTTGTTGTTCAATTTGGCCAGCTTGGATCTCACTCCATGGTGGAGAAATGAGATGCCAACCAGCCAAAAAGAGAAGCTTATAAAGGGGCAGACCATAAGGTTGAAGACCACAAATTTCAGAGTTACCATGGTTACTTAAGGTCATACAAACTAGAGTAAAGCAGTAACTATATATTTTAAGCAAGACACATTTGAGTGAGATAAGACAGGGCATGAGCTTGCAGATTACAGGGTCAGAGGGTCTGTCAGTTATCCCCTAGGCTGGGGAGATCTTTAAAACCAGCAGGGGACCTTTAAGACCTTCAGTTAGCAAAAGAGTGTTAACAGGAGTGTTGGACAGTCATTTCCCCTTCTCTGAGGTTATAGCAATGGAATGGAATAAATCTGCCCAGAAAGAAAATTAAAATCACAAGATAAAGAATTATTTCAAATACTCCAAAACATTAAAACATTTTGTAGTGTACAAACAGTTTTCACAATTGGGAATCAGACTCAGTCTACTTAAAGAGTATGACTTTGAGTCAGAATGTGGACATCTGAGATGACTCAGTTGGTAAAATCATGTGCTACATAAGCCTGAGGATTTGAGTACTAATCCCTGGGACTCACATAAAAACCAGATGTAATGTACATGTTTATAATCCACATGTGGTGAGATAGTTGTCAAGACAGAATCCATTTGGAGCTGGCCTAGAATAGTGCACTAACAAAAATGGGAGATCCTGTCTCAAGTTGGAAAGCAAGACCCAACACTGAAGATTGTCTTGATACCACATACATGCTATGATAATGGTGGATCTCTCTCAGACAGTAGCATCTAGAACTTAATGGCCTTAGGTCTAGAAGGTTTCCATAGTACCAGAAAGTTAAGCAAAGGCCTTCTTACTCAATCCTCCAATCAGACCCTATAAGCAGGAATTAGGAAAGCCAGTTCTAAATCTCCCAAAAGAGTCATCCCTCCAAGACTTAGTGACATCGAGTATATGCTTTCGGCCTTTTATCTGTGTCTGTAACAAAAGTCATATGGTTAAAAGTAGCACCACAGCATGACTCTTACAAAGAGAGGTAAGGAGTATGACAATAACAACTGGAAAGATGGGAACAACAGTAGGTATAGGAGCTCTGACATAATGGATATAAGAGGAAGGATAAAGGAGTAAGATGGGCATCATAATTGAAGGCAGGTGGTGTCCTTAGTTGTAGCATAGTTTAAAGCTCCCTGAAGAAACAGATTTAGAATAAATTTCCTGAAATGACAAGGGAGTAAGAAAGTAGGGCTTATGCACGTATAGAATCCAGAAAGATAGAATGAAAGACATTGGAGGCTGCAGGTATGTGAGGGTATATTTTGCCTTGGGCCTCAATGGAAAAGGAGATAGAAATCTTGAAGGGGCTCATAGAAGTAGACTTCTTGAGCTTTTGTGGGTAGGAAAGCTTTAACTGTAGCTAGATAACACATAGCCATAGGGTCTTAATTTTTTTGAAGTTGGAAACCTCATAGTTAGGATATCTGTCAGGTCTGGGAAGGTGTTTTGTGCCTACTGACTATAAAATAATTCACATGGGAATTGGTAACTTTGAAGGGGAAGTCTTAATGTCCTTATGAGACTAGTCTCTAACAAGTTATAGTAGTGTTTTAATGTGAGGTAAACGGTCTGTTAGGGGTTAATAAATCATCTATGCACTAAAGAGGCTATTCCTTTATGAACATTTCAAGGAAGAAAGGTTTTTGTGGCAAAGAGGTAGGGGCTGACCATGTGCCCTGAGGCAAGACACTCCAGGTGAGTAGATGAATATCTGAGACAAGTGGTCCTGTCAAAGGCAAATAAGAACTGAGTCTGAGTGGATTGGAACATAGAAAGAAAATATCCTTAAAGTCTAAACTATAAAACCAGGTGGCATTAGAGTATATTACAGTGTAAGAGTGGTTGGGATTACAGTTTAATTTGTGGCTCTTAGGTCTTGGGATATTCTTTAGGATGCATCTGACTCTTACTGCCAACATAAGAGTGGTAGGAGCATAACCCCATAATGGTTACAAATTTATCAATAAGAAACTCAAAACCCTTCTAGGTTTTAGTTTTCAATTTTAGTTTTAGGTTTCAGATGGACCTTTGAGGAAAGGTGTTAGTGTCTGTAATGACTGTTGTGACAGAAGTGACTGTTAGTGGGACTAGCTATGTCTCACACTTGAAGGGGAACTTATGAGATGTAGAAATAAGGGAGGATGTTTGGGGCTCTAGACATTATTGGATGTTTATAAGGAGGGGTTGGTGTTATGAGTATTTTAAGGTCCCAGGACCCTTCAGATGTCATAAGTGGGACTGGGGGTTGGATGCAATGTCCCTGCCTAGGAAGAAAATCTGGCAGCAGGGTAGAACCAAAAGGAATGAATGAATATCATACATGTTAAGAGGTTTAAAGTGTGCTGGTTGGAGTTTGCCATTGATACTAGGGAGGAAGATTGAGGACAGGAATGTTAAATTAGAAAGGTAACAGGGAGGAAAATGTAGCTCCTATGTTGGTTGTATAGTCAACAGCCCTTGCTATATCTTGGATCATCTGAAGCTCATACATAAGAGTCCCAAGGAAAACTTGGGAGCCTGTGTAACCCAGGGTCAGGTCTTCAAAGTGGAAGTCTCTTATTTTCCAGGACCAAAGTTAAGGATATTGTTAGTTTGACCCTAGCATGAGATTTTTAGATATAGGCTGGACCTCTCATGCAGGTGGGGACAGTTATGATTCTAATGGTCCTCCAGTCTGAAGGAGGACTACTATAGCTGGGTTATTTTGTGCTTTCACAGATGAAATACTGTGATTAACTACAAGGATAATCAGAGTGGTTCATTTGTTCCAAAATTAAGTTCGCTCCTTTAGCCTGAGTAGGGTACATTTAGATGGATTGCTTGGACTTCTGAAATGGTTAGGAAATGGGAAGTCACCACAGCAATCCCTTTAGTCTCCTGATTTGACTTTTCTGATCTTTGAGTTTTTTAAATATTAAATAACTGTATCTATCTAGAAAATAGGAGAGGAGTTTACTGTCCCTGTTCTGATTTTTGAAACTTTTCTCTTAATATCTGAAGAAGTTTTATAAAATTTACAGGTAGGTTGCCTTTGGCCCTCTTGGTTCTTCAGAATGTAGGCTAGTGTACTGGTGCATAATTTCAGCCATCCTGTATTAAAGTGAAGAGAGCAGGGTTCTTGAACAGTTCCTCATTGTTAATGGAGTTGATAACAGCTTATTTCTTTCTAGGACACAGGGAATCATGTATTCCAAGGGTCCTTTCCCCCATTGTTTCCCACGTTCTGATATAATCATTTGGGTTTCCTGTCAAGTACTATAAAGCAACATGTCTTCTCTGTTATCAGGGTTAAGACTGGCTCTCATCAACTCAGCTGCCTGCTAAAGTTTAGGTGTGGAACCTCTTTGTATGCATATAGCAAGTTGTTAGAATGATATAAATAGGCACTGGAGAGATGACTCACTAGTTAGGAACACTGGTTGTTCTTCCAGAAGACTTGGATTTCAGTGCCAGCACTCACATGGAGGATCATAACCATCTATAACTAAAGTTCAAGAGGATCTAGTGCCCAGTTATAGTCTCCATGGCCACCAGGCATGCACAGGCAAAGTATAGGCAAACACCTCATATTTATAAAAATAATTTTAAAAGTGTTATTAATATATTGCCCAGATTAGGTTAAAAGACTATGGTTAGCCCTTTGAATTCCTTAATAAAGATAGAGAGGAAGTGGAGGAAATGATCATAGTTGTTAAATTTGGAGCAGATCAGATGGGGAAAGAGACATATGTCTAGACTGTGCTAAGGTTCCTGCTAGCCACCTCACAAACAATATAGAGATTGGGTTTTTGAGATGGTGTCTCATTATTTAGTTTTGTCCTGGAACATGCTATATTGACTCACATTCAGAGATGGGCCTGGCTCTGCTCCTTTAGTACTGGGATTAAAGGTATGCACCACCACACCCAATACAAGGAATATTTTCTGAGGGTCAGAGTGTGGCTTTTGCTTGCTTCCTGAGTTCTCTGTGTCAAATTCCTGGGTGAATATGTGAAGGGGGAGTGTATCTGTTTTAGTAGGAAGAGTCATAGGAGACAGACAGGTGGAGAGAGGGGCAGCTTTCAGAATAGGAGAAATGAAGTCCCTTTCCCCACCACATCCCCATCACAGTAAAATACCAACAAAGAATTCCTTTGGCCTGTGTCCATCAGTTGTGAATGGCCCAAGAGGACTTCCTTATCTTGTCCTGTGATGGGAAACAGTAGTGTGGGCTTTAACTAAAAAACTTTTGGACCTTGTTTGAGAATCTCCTAAATCAGATACCTTTAGCTGACCACCACAAGCTTCAGAGGTATGAAGGAGAGTTCCTTTTTAAGCCATCAAAATACTGGACAAAACAGCAAAAGAAAGGCCAATAACAGTCAATCAAAAGGATTATCCAAGACATGTACAAAGAGTTTGTTGAATACTTAAGGAAGCAGTAAGCCCACAGAAGGAGTTGCCTACCTGAGAATGTGAAGGAGTTCTTAAGGGAAAGTGATTTAGTGGTCCATATTTGGGCAGATATGTGAGTACTTTATCTTGTGGAGTAGTAAATTTTGCAGTTTGTTTTTTCCTTAAACCTGGCCATTTTATAAAGTGCCACTAAATCTCCAAAATGTCGAGATGTGCTTCTATTTCTGGCACTTTGTGTCTACAGAGTAGTTTGAAAATCTTTTGTGTATGCAAGGCAAGCCATGATGTTACTGTCTAGAAGACCGACAATTGCTAAACACTTGGATTAGGAGAAAGTTGGAAAATTAATTATTGGTGAAGTCTAATGAGGTTTTTTTAATTTCATGTGATTTTATAATGGTATAATCCAGAAGAGGTAACATTTTGGAGACACTTCTCTTCCCCCGCCCTACCTTCTACCCTCCTGAGATGTGAGCCTTGATAGAGCATACAGGCTAACTCCGAACTCCTTGATGCTGGTGATTCTGTATATTGGTCTTCCTAGTAGCTGAGACTGTAAGCACATGTTGACATATCTGACTACATTGCATTCTTTGTAAAAACACATGCCATCTAATTGTTTCATGTTAATTTTTTTTTGGTTGGGTCATCAATCATTCTCGCTAGTGTAATTTCTGGGTGGTATAAATTATCTTTGAGGCTTCTAAATGTTTTCTCTTGATGTAATCACACAGGATGAGCTCAGTTTCCCCACTTAACAAATGACAATATGCATGAACTGTTACTGTTGTCTACCAGAAAAACTCAGTAGCCTCATTGCCCCAATAATTGGGGGCAGAGGCTGATTCTCTTGGTACTTATATATGTATAGAACATTCAAGAAGCTAATATTCAGAAAATTGCTGTGTTTATGTAAGTCATTTAGAAGTGTTGTTATCATTTATGTTAGTGGGATGTCTCCCATAATCTTAGGTTCCCCAATACCAGAAGAGTTCATACTTTGTAGAAATATGTAAGTAAAAGTAACATATATGTTAGCTCTCTTCTGCACATCATTTGGCAGAACTGGTTATTACAGGTACTAGAAGAAAAGGGTGACCTAGCAGAACATTCAACTCCCAGGCACAGTAATGAGGAGTGTTCCTACTATTTCTACTCTGCTGTTTCTTTTCCTTTCTTTTCTTTTCTTTTTTATCTCCATGCCTCCTCCCTGTGGAGTCAGAGTCTCACAGTATCGTCCTGGCTGATCTAGAACTCTCTGTCGCTGTCTCCTTTCTTAATGTCTCAGGGCTAGCATTAGAATTTCAGTTTGATTGAATAAATTCCTGAACAGCACAAAATTATATGGACATCTTATCAATTGAGTATAAATCTCTACATGTTAGTCTCATCTGTTCTTTTCTGTATATATTCATGATGTTTTAGGATTTTTTGGCCTTTGAGGATGTGGCAGTGAAATTCAGCCAGGAAGAATGGATTTTGCTAGATCCTTCTCAGAAGAAGCTATACAGAGATGTGATGTTGGAAACCTGCGGTAACCTTACTTCCTTAGGTAAGAATGACACCATTTATTTTGTCAAGGAACAAGTGTTCCTTGGTTCTATGATTTGGAATTTGGAAAGGGAAAAAGAAAGTGAATAAACAAGCATGGGTCCAGTGTACATCAAACCCAGAAATTCATTTTTCTGTAATTTCTAATAATATGTGACTTTTCTGGGTCTTCCCATTTTTAGGCATCAAATGGGAAAATAAGAATATTGAAGAGCAGTACAAACATTCTTGGACATATCTAAGGTAAGTTGCATATACAAGTGGGAGAAAGTTTTCCTTGAAAAACTCTTAATGTGTTATGAAAATTTACAAACGAAAGCAAAAGGAGCTGGAGAGAGGACTCAGTGTTAAGAGCAATGGAGGACCCAGATTCTAGTCCCCACACTTATATGATTCTCACAACCATTTGTTACTTCATTTCCAGGGCATTCAATATGGTAAACAGACATGCATATAGGCAAAACACCCATGCACATTAAGTAAGTAATAGTGAAATTTTAAATTAAAAAAGAAAATAAAAGCCAAAACTGTAACATTGACTTATTAGAAAAACTGCCCCAAAATACATATATCAGTATATATATTTGAAAAAACAGTTTACTTGGAAACAATATGTAGACAACACACATATACATATATAATGATTTATTTATATATTTCATGTATATGACTGTTTTATCTGCACGTATGTCTGCATACCAAAAGAAGGCTTTGGATCCCATGGGACTACAGTTAAGTTATATAGGCAGTTGTAAGTCACCACTTGGGTGCCTGAAGTTGAACGCAGGACCTCTGGAAGAGCAGCCAGTTAGGTCTCATAACCAATGAGCTATCTCTTCTATCTGTGGGGGCTGTTTTAATAGTAGTTCTTTAGGAGTATATTGTAGAGTCATCAGTTCATTTATTTGAAACTATTCAAGTGGTAAAAGCATACACTGATTTTTATGAATAGTGTAAGCCTAGCACCTGTTAGTAAGCAGAGTCATTAGTGAAACAGCCATTGCTAACATGTTTACTTTTTTTTTTTACAGAAGTTACATGGTAGATGCAATCAGTGAGCATAAAGAAGGTGATCAATTTCAAGAAACATATATCTGGATCCGAAATCTCCATAGAAGTGCAAACATTTCTGCTGGAATAAAACCATTTGCATGTGGTGTGTATGGAAAAGCTTTCACTTGTCATTCATCCTCTAATGAACACATCATGTCTCACTTGGGGGACAAACCATCTGAACACAAATATGGTAAGAAGCAATATAAATTTAAACAATGTAGGAAAGCTTGAACTCACAAATATTCAATGATACATAGGTATCTTATGAAAGTGAATGTTTTAAAAATATTTTTGTTTTCCAGGTTCATTTGGAATGCAGCAACAAAGTCACAGTGGTGAAAAATCCTGTAAGAAATGTGGTATGGCCTTTATTTGCCCCTGTTCATTTTCTGTAGATGGAAGAACCAACACTGAAGACAAATGTTGTGAATGTATACAGTATGATAAAGCTCTGAGTTCTTCTAGTGACCTTCAAAGTCATAAAAGAATTCATACTAGAGAAAACCCCTATGAATGTGAACAAGGTGGAAAATCCTTTAGACATCAAAGTTCATTTCGATTACACAAATTAACTCATATTAGAGGGAAACCCTATGATTGTAAACAATGTGGCAAAGCCTTCAAATGTCACAGTTCTCTTCGATTTCATAATGCAGAAAAACTTTATGTATGCAAACAGTGTGGTAAAGCTTTCAGATGTCAAAGTTACCTTCGAATGCATGAAAGAACTCATAATGGTGAAAAATGTTATGACTGCAAACAGTGTGGTAAAGCTTTCAGAAGTCACTGTTCCCTTCAAAGACATAAAATAGGTCATCTTGAGAAAAAACCTTATGCATGTAAACAATGTGGTAAGTCCTTCACTTATCTTTATTTACTTCAGACACATGAAAGATTTCACACGGGAGAGAAACCATATAAATGTAAGCTATGCAGTAAAGCCTTTCTTTGTTCCCCTTTTCTTCAAAGACACGAAAGATCTCATACTTGGGGAAGGCCCTATAAGTGTAAACAGTGTGGTAAAGCCTTCAGAAGTCACAGTTTCCTTCGATTACATGCAAGGGCTCATACTGTAGAGAAACCTTATAAGCGTAAGATGTGTAGTAAAGCATTTCTATGTCTTCCTTTCCTTCAAAGACATGAAAGAGCTCACACTGAAGAAAAGCTCTTTGAATGTAAGCAATGTAGTAAAATCTTCAGAGATGGGAGTACCTTCCAATTACATGAAAGATCTCATATTGTAGAAAAGCCCTATAAATGTAAGATATGTAGTAAAGCCTTTTTTTATCCCTCTTCCCTGAAAAGACATGAAAAGATTCATACTGGAGAAAAACACTATGCATGTAAATATGCATGTAAACATTGTAGTCAGTCCTTCATTTTTCCTTGTTTACTTGAGAGGCATTTAAGAACTCACACTACTGAAAAACCCTATGAATGTAAACAGTGTGGTAAAGCATTTAGAAGTCTCACTTATGTTTACATACATGAAAGAACTCACACTGAAGAAAGACTGTATACATGTAAACAGTGTGATAAAAGTCTTAGTTGTCCCAATGCCCTTCAGTTACATGAACTAACTCATACTACAGAAAAATCCAATGCATGTCTACAATTTGAAAAAACCATCAGAAAATTCAGTTATTTTCAAGTACCTGAAAAGACTCATACTGAAGTAAAAGCTTATGAATGTAAGCAATGTGGTAAAATTCTTGATTGTGTAAGTTCCCTTCAGCTACATGAAAGAATCCATACTGGAGAGAAATTACATGAATGTAAGCAATGTGGTAAGACCTTCACAGTTCTCAGTAGTCTTCGAGTACATGAAATATCTCATAGTCAAGAGAAAAACTATGAATGCAAGCAACGTATGAAAGTTTTCAGTCTTACTAATATACATGAAATAAAGAAAGCTGAAGGAAATCCCTGTGAATGTAAGCAGTGTGGCAAGTCCTTTGTTTCTCGATATTTACTTCAAATGCATGAAAGGTCTCATTCTGCAGAGAAACGCTACGAATGTAAGGTATGCAGTAAAACCTTCATTTATCCCTCTTTTCTTCAAAGACATGAAAGAACACATACTGGAGAAAAACCTTATGAATGTAAACAGTGTGGTAAGGCCTTCAGAGTTCAGAGCTCCCTTCGATTACATGAACGAACTCATTCTGAAGAAAAACCTTATGAATGTCAACATTGTGGTAAAGCTTTCTGGCGTTTCCCTTCTCTTCAAGTACATGAAAGAATCCATACTGGAGAAAAGCCCTTTGAGTGTAAACAATGTGGCAAAACTTTCAGATGTCACAGTTCCCTTCAAAGACATGAAAGAACTCATAGTCAGGAAAAACTATATGAATGTAAACAATGTGGTAAGGCCTTTAGAAGTCACCGGTCCCTTCAAAGACACGGAAAAACTCATGCTGGAGAGAAGTCCCCATGAATCTGAACAGTGCAAAAAACTTTTAGATGTTCTAATTTCCTTGTAATGTTTGAAAATACTTGTAGGAAGGAAATCTGGTAGTATAAAGCAGTTGTGAAAGCTACAGGGTGCTTTGTTGTTGTTAATGGTTTTGTTTTGTTTTTAAATCAATAGACTTACTGGAGAAAGACCTATCATATGTGTTAAGTTGTTCAGTTCCCAGCTGGTCATGGTGGTGAATGCCTTTAATCCCAGTGCTGGGAAAACAGAGGTAGGCAGATATCTGAGTTCCAGGCTGGCCAGGGCTACACCATGTCTCAAAAAATAATGCAAAAAAAAAAAAAAAAAAAAAAAAGATTTTCAGTTCCATTTGAAAACTTAGACATCTCTGGTAGAACACCTTAGGAATGAATGTAATGTGAGGTTTTCTAATTTTCATTCATACTCTTGAATAAATGGTAATACAAACAAGGGTAACTCTTATAAGAATGGATGTTGGTTTGTAACTAATTAGGAACGTAAAGTTTGTAAACTTTTAACAGTCAAACTTATGAAGACTATCAAAAGTAAATCTAAGTATTACAGGTTCATGACTTGGCCAAGTTATTTAAGTCCTATTCTGCAATCAAAAGTGGAAGAGTACTGTATATGTTTATCATTAGGTAGAATACTTGTTGGGCATATGTGAAACTGTAAGTTCAATCCCCAGTACTCTTAGCAAAAAAAAAAAAAAAAAAAAGAATGTCTTAAAAGAATGAGTTGTCATTTCTTTTAGAGGGGCATACATTGACGTGAAAATTCTTTATAGTGTAGTCTTCCAACAATAGAGGTAGTTTGGGATTTATATATATCACCAGACAACTTCATAATAAGATTATTGTGTTGTTACTTTCCCCAATGCTGTGATAAAATGTTCCAACAAAACAAGCTAGGAAGAGGTTTAAAGGTTGAGCTGTGTCACGGTCTGACATGGCACAGAAGTCACAGCAGAAGGAACTTGTTGGAGCATGTCACACTGTATCCACAGTCAAGCAAAGAGAGAGTGCTCATGACTAGCTTTTTCCCTTTTATACAGTCTGGAACCCAAACCCAGGGAATAGTGCCATCTCTTTCAGGGTGAGTCTTCTGTCTCATCTTAAATCCCTTACAGTCAAGCCCAGAAGCTTATCTCCCAGATGATTATAGATCTTCTAAAGATGTTGCTACCAAGTGTCACAAATATACTATAATGAACCAAACACTACTCCAAATGTACAGTATATTATTTTACTGCTTGTTGTAAACAGTGATAACAGTAATTATTCAGGAAAGTGAAAATAATTGAAAGGATAATGATGTAAATGCTACACTTAAGAAGGCCCCATATGGAGTCTTAAGGAATAGATGTTGCTCTGGGTTGTAGTGAGTTGTAGTTTTGTGAATGTTAAAGACATTACTATATACTACTACTATTAACTATAAATACTGTAGACTTAGATCTTATTATCCATAAAATACTGTTCTTAGTAAATTAGCTCATAATTTTTTCACTTTGCAAAGTTAAAAGTTTTTAATACTTTTCTACTTTCCTAGTCACTTACTGGTTTCAAGTAAGAAATTAGTATACTTTTGGATTACATTGTGTTAAAAAACTTGATTTTTAAAAAATTTCTTGCTAATTTACTGAAATATATTTTATGAAGATTGCTTAGTAGATTTTGGTTTAGGACTATCTAATAGTTTATGAAATGGTCCTAAATGTGCTTTCACCATTTTGTACTCAGCATTGATGATTCAACCATGGAAAATACTGGTTCTCTATATTTTGCATTCTCAGATAATCAGCTAAGATTTATTACCTTTTGGGAGTGTGGGTACAAGGTCTCACTGTGTAGCCCTGACTAGCTGGATCTCGGTATGTAGACCAGTCTGGCCTTGAATTCAGAGATTCACCTGCCTCTACCTCCTGATTGTTGGGACTAAAGGTGAGTGCCACAGTAAGGTAAGATTTAAGACTTGATTCAAAGTAAGTATCTCAATTAGTATGAAATATGGTTCATTTTTAATAAATGCTAAGGTTGTATTTACTAAAGAACCCTTTTTAAATAGATTTTTTAGAAAAGTGTCTTAAGTTACAATTATTTTTTGTCTGTGTGTGTAGAGAGAAGCAATATAGCCAGAAGCTGGTTCACACACTGGAGAGCTGCCAAATAAAAGTTTGCTTCTGTCGTGTTGACACCTGGTATTGTCTTGTTCTTTTTGTAGATCAGAGGATAGAGATGGTTAGAGTTAAGATTAAAGATTAGGGTTAAGCTTAGAGCAGTAGAAATTAGGTTTCAGGTAAGGGTTAATGTTCTTATTATGGATTAGGATGAGTCAGTGTGGTACAGCTAGACACCGTGTTTAGGGGTTTAAGTTTTAGGTTTTTGTTTTTGCATTATGGATTACTGTTTGGGATTTGGCTAAGATTAATGTAAAGTGTGGATAAACAGGTACAGTGCTCTGTATCATTAGGGTTTGGGTTGGGATCAGAGTTAGGTTATTAGTTGAGTTTAGACTAGTGATAGTGATAGTTCTTTGGAGTAGGATTGAGGATAGGATTAGTGTTTAGGATTTGGCATGTTAGGTGTTATAGTGAACATTAAAGGTGGCAACAGAGTTAGCATTAGGGTAAGAAATTGAGATTAGATCTAGAATATAGTTAAATGTTAGTTTGAAGCAGCAACATATTCTGTCTTCCAAACAGACTTTTATGGTAGTCTGAATAAAAATGGCCCCTGTAGGCCTGTAGAGAGTGACACTATTATGAGGTGGTTTTGTTGGAGAAGTGTGTCACTAGGGTACAGGCTTTGAGCTCTCAAATGCTCAAGTCAGGTCTAGGGTGACATTTCACTTCCTGCTGTCTGCTGACCTTGTATGAGGAACTCTAAGCTTCAGCACCATGTCAACCTGCATGATACCATGCTTCCTGCTATGACAATAATTGTGTAAACCTCTGAAACTGTAAGCCAACCTCAATTAAATGTTTTCCTTTGTAAGACTTGCCTTGTTTATGGTGTCTCTTCGCAGCAGGAAAACCCTAACTAAGACATATTTCTTATGCTTAGAAACTTTTAAATGAAAAGAAGTGTGTTAGGTTGGAAAATTCAGAAGCATAACTGTGTTTGGTGCTCAAGATGTTTCCAATGAGTCATGTTGTATTGAAATTTAGTATCCTAGAAGTACACTTTCCTTAGGACTCCCTAGGTCAATAGCCACTGAGGGAAGAGTCCTGTGTTAGGTCTGGGATAAGGGAGTATTGCAAAGGCTAAGATTGTTTGCTTTGCTCGATGAGAGAAGTTAAGTGTGAGGCAAATCTCACTTATCAGCACATTCTGTCTTCTAAGTACACATTCCATAGTGATCCTGTGTCCCAATACAGTATCCCACTTGTCTACATAGTGATCCACTGTCCCATCCCATACCTTCTCTGTCTCACCCTGGTGTTTTCTCTATTCCATTCCAGAGTTCTTCTATGTCCATCATAATGCTTATCTATTTTCACAATTTTCTGTCATAATATTCTTTTTATCTATCACTATGTAACAGTTACATCAGCAGTCTTCACTCTGCCATCTCAATCCTCCATATAGTCCAATTATAGTGCTCCTCTATTCTTCAGTGTCATTTTTCTGTTATATACCAGTGTGTCAGTGAAAGTGCTCAATTGTTTCATCTTGGTATTCCACTGTTCCCACCACAGAGCTGTACAGCACAACAGAACTATAACAGTAGTACTCCCCTGTTTCAGCACAATGTTCTTCTGCTTCATCCCCAGGTTCCACTGCCAAGTCTCAAGTGTCCACTGCCCCATCCCAAGGCTCATCTGTCCCATCATAATGCTCTAGTACTCCCAAGTATTAGTACTTCATTGCCCTATACCAATGCTATATTGTGATAATACAATCCTCATCCATTTTTTGTTTGCCACTATACTCTCCTGTGCTATCACTATGTACCACTGTGATATCACAACACTACTCTTTATTTCATCACAGTTTCTATTCTATAACAGTATGATATTGTTCAGCCTTTAGTGCTCTTTCTTATCAGTATCTCACTTTGTTTTTGCTTGTGAAACGTGTCTCAATCTGTAGTCCAGGATAGTCTGGAACTTGATATGTAGACCAGGCTGGCCTCAAATTTCCACACCTCCTAAGAACTAGGATTGAAGGTGTGTGCCACCATGTGTGGCTGATATTTTCATATAAGTCTTCTCTTTTCTCACTAAATGCTTCACTGTCCCATGAACATACTTCTTTGTCTGTCACAGTGTTCTACTGATCAATCATCCGATCCATATTCTTTCTTTTGCCATACGTTTAGTTTACAAGTATTGTCACAAAGCTCCTCTCTCATTTCCCAATGCTGTCTGTCATATTACAGTACTACAGTGTCATTACAGTCCTCCATTGTTATTGTTCTGTCAATAATTTGCTGGTCAATCACAGTGCTTCTCTTTTCTATTGCAGTGCTCAATAAATGTAGCCCTACCTACCTCAGTTTCAGTTCTCATCAGTTCTTTATTCTATAGCATTTCGCATTTCTCAGATTTCCAATCATAATATTTCTCTATCCCATTTTGGCCCATTGTTCTCTCACAATAAACCTCTGTATTCATCACAGTTGTTCATTGTCTTATCACAATGATAAATTGGTCTCTACCACTGTATTCAACCACAATCCTCTTGTTCTGTCAAAATATTTCTTTGCCTTATATATTTTCTTTTGTCCCATCATGATACCCTTGTGTACCTTCAAAATCTCTACTGTCCCTATCACAGTGTACCACTTTTCCATTGTATTCCATCACAGTGCTTACCTGTCCTGTTACATTGTCCCCCTATCCCATCATAATGTTATGTTCCACCAAATTGCTCAAGTATCCTGTCAAAATCCTGCTCCATTGTCTGATCACAATTCTCTGTACCTATCACAATTCTCCACTGTATCCATCATAGTGTTCCACTGTCCAGTCACAATGCTCATTGCTGTCATAATGTAACACTGGGACTCCTGGGTAACATAGCAACCTAGAAGCCTGATCACTGAACCTCAAGAAAATAGACAGCAATCTCCTTTCCTACATGTGGCAGGGTATAGAAACAAAGTTAATAAAACTGAAAGATCTTTGCAGGAAACAGGTAAAATCAAGCCCTGGAGAGCAATAGAAACTGGATGGGAAGTACTGCTCTGCAAACATGCCACCTCCAGGATCTGAAGACATCAAAATGGAGTTCAGAGAGTAGTCTCAGGAAAGGACTTACAAATCCTCCCCCACATGCCAGAACTACCTGGAATATAGGCTATAGAGCCAAATGATTCCATTTACCCATCTCTTATACAGCACCAGAAACTATCTGAGAACTGCTTTTCAACTCTGTAGCTGTGTCAGCAATTTCATTCCATAAATATTTTAAGAATTCTATCATTCAATCTATTGAGTATGTGTCTCATCGTGCTTTTGTTTGCACATTGCTTTGTTAAGTTCTAGGATTTCTCTGTATATCTTTTCACCCATGGACACCCTACTCCGCTTTGACACGTTATCTCCTCATTTTTCCATGTAATTTCCTCCTTTATACTTAACCCCTCTTCTTTTGTACTTAAAACAAAAAAAATCTTCTATTGAAGTTTTCTGCTTGCATGTTTGTCTCTACCACATACACAATGCCAGCAAATGTCAGAAGAGTGAATCATTCTCTAGAAGTTGAATGCCAGAGAATCATTAGTGGTTATGTGGGTGCTGGGCACCAAGCCTAGGTCCTCTGCAATAGCAACAAATACTATTAACCATGGAGTCACCTCTCCAGCTCCCCTTTTCCTTTATAAACATTCAGAATGATACTGCTGACCTTCAAGTGCTACACACAGGCATGCTACACACATTAAAAATCTATAAGTTAATCCTTAAACTATATGTACTGACTTGTAGCATTACCCCAAATTTTCCTTCCCATCTACTTTTCCTATCTCCTTACCAACTCATACTAAATCTTAGTTACCAAAATCTAATATGGAATGGCCTAGCCCACTGTGCATGACTATCCCTAGGCAGGTGACGCTGGGCTGAGAATGAGCTAAAGCATGAACTACAGAGCAAGACAGCAATTAGTATCTCTTCATGGTTTCTGTTTGATTTCCCACCATGACTTCCCTCAATGACAGGTTGTTACCTATGAATTCAAGGCGAAATAAACTCTTTTCTTCCCAAGTTGCTTTTAGTCAAAGCGTTTTATTATAGCAAAAGCATGAAACTAGAACATATTAATTAAAGATAAGCAGGGTTGATAACGTCTTAGACAAATATGGGGTAAGAGTAAAGAGAACCTAACTTGATCAAATTAGAGCTGAACAGACAGCCATTAGACAGACACCAATGAAATTGAGAAAATCAAGTTTACACCTTAAAAATGTATCCATGAAACTGGAAAATAGTGTAGGAGAAACTGCCCACCAGCCACAGGTGCCCAGGCCAGCATGCATGAGCCTGCCTCTATGCCCGGAGACAAAGAGACACCTGACCCAGAGACACAAGTGAGGTAAGGACAACACAGCATAGTCAGCCACCTGAGCCAACAGGACCTTGGGAGGGGGTATAAGGGCAGTCCTAGCTTCCTTAATAAACGAGTCAGCAGCATGCTCTGGTACTCACTGACTCCCAGTGCCTGAGTTGTTGGTGCTGTGTCTTCTTACTCCCTCCCATAGGGATGTTCAAGTAGGGTCACCCACAACATCTAAAGAAATGGCTGAATTTCTAGATGCATATGGCCTAAAAAAATTAAACCAGGATGAGATTAACACAGGCATTGTTCAATATAAATCAATGATTTAATGCTATATAAGTGGATTGAACGGCCGAAGTCACACAGTCATCTCAATAGACGTAGAAAAGGTTTTCTGAGAACATAAATTGTCTCCTTACAATAAAAGTCCTCAAGAAACTCAGAATAGGAATATAACTCAAATTAATGAGGTTTGTATGTGAAAAGCCTATAGCCAACATTAGAAAACAAATAAACCATGCCCACAAAAATCAAACAAGACAAGGGTGTCTAGTTTTTCCACTCAATACAGTCCTTGATTTTTAGCCAGAGCTATAGGACAAGAGAAGCATGGGATACAAGTAAAAAGACAAAATATAATTGCAGGTGATGCCTATATACTCTAAACTATCCACCAGGAAACTTGCAATTGACACCTTCAGTAAATAGGCAGAATATAAAATTAATATATAAAAATTAAGATCCTTCATATATATACATTAGTAGCAAATATCCTGAAAAAGGAAACAATCTCATGTACTTTAATCTTTAAAGAAAAAAAGACCCTAGAGTAAGGGTGAAAAAATCTCTACAATTAAATTTTAAACCAAAGTGATCGAAGAATGAACAGAAGATGAAAATACCTATATTTATAGATCAGAATTACTACTGTAAAAATGGCTATGCTACCAAAACAATATAAATTCAAGGCAATTGTAATAAAATGTCAAATGCCATTGTTCACAGTTGAAAAATAATCCTAAAATTAATATGGAAGCATAAAAGGGCCTGAACAACTAAAGCAAAACTAAACAATAAGAATAATACTGGAGAATCTGGAGATACAGGTTAGCAATTAAGAGCACTGCTGGTCTTGGCACACCCTTTGTCCTCCACCCTCTGCTTGAGGTGAGTGTGGGCTCTGCTTGAGGCCCAACTCCTGCTATCCCACCCTCCTTGGATCATCTGGGCCTGCTCCACTCATAGAGTGGGCCCTTCCTATCAGGACAGACCAACCTGAGTCTTGTCACAACTCACTCTAGCGCCCCCATATGCCCTCTGCCCTCCTGTTGAGTGAAGAGAACACCAGGAGAGGCTGGACCATTCAGAGGTGCAGACCCACCTACCCCACTGGGACACTAAAGGATAGGGAGAGACGACACCTGCACCCACTTGAAGAAGGGATGGGAAGACAGTATAAGAACACACTCAGTAACAGAAAAACCAATATGACA